CCCTCCCTCCCTCCCTCCCTCCCTCTCTGGATGAAGACGTGCTCTCTTGGCACCATGAGGCAGATGGGCCTCTCATCTTCCACCTCCATCCTTTAGCTAGTTAATTAGTAATCTATCAATCTCTGCTCTTTCCTATCCAAAGTGTACTTCTCAAATAAAGAGAGAAGTATTTCTCTTCTAAACTTGCAATGGGGCTCTGCGTAGCTTTGTAAACTGAGTAACCTGGTAAAGTGATGCTCCTGCATTTGTAGCTTTATTTAAGCACTCTGCTAACTAATGGTGGCTGGACCACACCAATTAACCTTAATACATACAGGGCCTCATGTTTGGATAGCAATGTATAGTTTGGATAGAAAACTACATCCTGCTTTTGCTGGACCCTGCTAAGCCCATGAACTAGGGGCCAGGGTTTCTGCCCTGAAGGTTTGGAATCGAGGACATCACCAAGGAAGAAGTGAGAGAGGGGTTTTTACTTTTACCTTACTCACTGCTTTTCCCTGGAACCTCATCCTCACTTGCCTTTCACTCAACCAAGATCTCAGGCATATATTTGGTGCAGTCAAACATACTTCCTTTCAGACTTCTTTGCTCTCCTGAAAACTGCTTTCTCCCAGTGCCACTTGGCAGAGAAGTAGCAGCCAGAGTCTCCAAAGATGTGTTGGCTGTGGAATGCATACATTCAGAAGCTTTTGGGAATCAGTCCAAGGAATTTGTAATCTCTAAAGTCTTCAATTCGATGGTGCATACTCAATATTTCAAGAGTACTGGGGGGTGGAATGGTGGATCATACTTGTATGTTGACTGCCACGTTTCTTATCTCTTGACTGATTTATTTAGGAGATCTGTATTGCTGCCTCTCCAGAGACCACTAGCTAATCAGAGTTGGAGGTGTGAAGTGGTTGTTTTCATATTGTTTTGATTAAACACTCTTATGATTTAATTCCTTTTGGGCAGCATTTTTTTTTTACATCAGTATATCTAAATTTTAATATGGCCCCATCCATGGATACCTAAACCCAGAGACTGGAGCCATGAACAGACAAGGCAGAGCTCTGAACAAACCTGAGACAACCCCCAGGTTTGCAGAAAAATGTGAGCTGCCCTGAGTCCGTTCACGGGGGAGGGTGGGATAGAAATGTAATAATAAATAAAGATAAATTAAAAATAAATAAATAAATAAAAATCTAAAACCCAAATAAATAAATTGAGATGTTGACTCCTAATAAGTGCCACAGCATCTGTACCTTTAAAAAACTGATGCTATCTGACATCTCAGTGGCCATTGTAGGGATTGTTAAGCAACCACAACAATATTGCCATCATTCAAATTTTGGTTTCTGTTAGTAAAAGGCATGGACGAGGGTGAGGGGGCAGGGGCAGGGGCAGGATCATTTCCAGGGCTATTTTGACCTCCCATTCCATCCCTGTTCCCCTTCTTCCAGCCCTGGAGGGAGGAATCATCAGTGCCAGGCCCAGCAGCAACCACCAGACAAACTGCTACCGTGCAATTTGTTGCAACTTTCCTAGCTGCAGCAGTGGTTACAATTTGATGTCACACAACTCACATGAACCCAGATGGCTGGGCATGACAGTGGCCACTACACATCTCATCTGAGCAATTTTCTACCACATTATTTTTGAAATTTGGCAAGGCTTTCCCAGGTAGGGATGAGCACAAACCAGAAAAATGCATTTCGGTACATGGCATGTCCAGTTTGCAAACCACAAAATGTAATTAATGCTTAGGGGCTAAACAAACCATTCTATGAGGATTGTGACAAGGTAGAATGCCCCCCCCCCCCCGCTAGAGACATCAAACTCACAGGGAATCTCTGGCTGACTCTCCTCCACCAGCCCTCCAAGTTTGGTGGGGATTGGATGTACAGGGTATGAATTATGCCCCCCAAAAGAAGGTGCCCCATCCTCCATTGTTTCCAAAGGAGGGGAAAAACAACAAAAAAGCCAAAGGGCAATAGTTGTGAAATAGTGATATCAGTTGCCTACGGCGGTGGTGAGATCCCCATCACTGGCCATCTTCATGCAGCAGCTGGACAAACACTTGTCCAGCTGACAAACAATGTAGGCTGATCCTACATTGAGCAGGGGGTTGGACTAGATGGCCTGTATGACCTCTTCCAACTCCGTGATTCTATGATTCTAGAAGCCCAGCAGAACAGAAGCAAAGTCACAGATAATCTCTACAGTAGAATTTTGCAAGCCCAGTAGAACCAATGGGATGTACCCAGCAGAACCAGAGCAGACCCAACAGGATTACGGTGAAGCCCAGCAGAACAGAAGCAAAGTCACAGATAATCTCTACAGTAGAATTTTGCAAGCCCAGTAGAACCAATGGGATGTACCCAGCAGAACCAGAGCAGACCCAACAGGATTACGGTGAAGCTAGAGAATCTCTGCAGTAGAAACTGAAGGCAGTGGTGGGACATTTTTGCAAGCTCAGCACAACCAGTGCAATGCACAGAGTGTCCAGCCGTACCAGTGCAATCAAAGCGTGTCCAGCAGAATCCAGTGCCATTGTGGCAATGCCAGCACAACAGGAATGATATGAAGTACATAATCACAATCTAAGTAAGGGGGGTGCAAGCCCAGCACAACCAGTCCAGTGTGCAGAACCCAGTGCCACTGTTGCATTGCAAGCTTAAAAAGACTGATCTCAAAGCAGAGTCACAAGAAATCCAAGCTGGGGGGGGTGTAAGCCCAGCACAACCAGTTACAATGTGCAGAATGCCCAGCATAACCCAGTGCCACTGGCATTGCAAGCTTAAAAGGACTGCTCTCAAAGCACAGAGTCACAACAAACCCAAGCAATGGGGGTGGGGGGTGGGTTGAAAGCTCTGTACAATAAAATGAGAAGAAAAAGGAATACCAACAAAGACTAGTTTGAAACTGACCCCCCTGATTCTTTGAAGTTTGGTAAACATTTAGGTTGAGATACAGTCTGTCTGGAAATGTATCTGTTCAGGAACCAGCACAAACCTCCACGAAGAGCTTGAAAGTTTGTGGAAAGTTTGTGCTGGTTGACTTGCCATGAACTTCACTTCACAAACCACAAATTGGCCAAAATTCATCACGAACTTTAGTTTATGAGCTGGTTCATGCCCATCCCTATTTCCAGGGAGAGGTAAGGAAGGGAATTTGAGATCCAGTGTAGTTGTTAGTGCCATACCAGAATCTAGGAGATGCTTATCCTCACTTAGCCATGGAAGCTTGCTGGATAACCTTGGGCCAATCACTCTCTGTCAGCCTAATCTATTTCACAGACCTGTAGTGAAGGTGAAAATGGGAGAGAAGAGAATGATGTAAGCTGCTTTGGGGAGAGAGGTGAGGTATAAATGAAGTAAATAAATAAATAAAGCTGAATATAGGAAGAAGATAAAATAAATGTGGGTGTGTTTGTAGGTGGGAAGGAGAGAAGGAAGCAGCAAAAGGGGAGAAGGTATGGGGGCTATCCGTAGAAAAAAGGAGGAAATGGTGTGTGGGAAAGGATTACAGGGGAAAATGAAGTGACCTCCATATTTACTGATGGCTAATTTGTATGAAACATGGATTTACCCAGAACCCCATAGCACCTATATTATATATTTACCAGTTTGTTAATTTGTTTATGTTGCAGAATCAAATATACATTTTAATAAGGGATGGTGTGGTTCTCTTTGTCTGTTGGAGTCCTCTGTACTTCTAAAAGCATTTATTTCCTTTTTTTTTTTTGCACTGCTTTTTGCAGCCAAGAGTGAAAATTAAATTGTGTCACAATTTTTGAAAGCATACTGTATACTTGCAGCTGCCCCCTGAAGACATTCCTTCCACGGGAGTTCTCGGCTTTGCATTCATATGTTCCTGCATCTTCCAGCTGCACATTCGGGATTTCAAGTACCGCTTGGGACTTCCTCAGGCGGCCTTTGCTCGGAGTAGGGCCATTGACTTTCCTCCATGAGATTGTTGGAACGGGGCTGAAATAGCGAAGTCATGGTTAGCTCCTTCCTGCCATCAAGAATATAGATCCCGTTACCTGCTAATTTAAGTACTTAATCGTCTAAGCAGCCATAAAACGTAATCACAATTAACACTCATGAACGGCTTGCTATATTTCTCTTTCGATGGAGAATATTTAATAAGCACTGCTGCTTTCATGGATACTTCCTGTCTATCAGAAAGAAAGTTTGTTTCCCAGTCATTAAGCCCCGGAATTTAATTTTTCAGGGGCTCAGAGATGGAGTATCCCAGATCCTCAGTCAAAACCTGATACGGACATTTCCTTTATTAGGGGAAAGAAAAGTGGGATTTGACATTTGTTATAAATCTAATGTTGGCTATGCTTCACAAAAAAGGATGGTCCTTCTGTATTGTTGCAGCTCTTTTGGCAAGATGAAGAACTATTTGGTCAGTATTCAAACTGCCATTAAATATCGAGAACACAGCAACTTTTATGGACTGGTGGGCAGAGCAAGCAGGGGTGGGCCTCTGGTAAACAATAAAACCCAACCCCCTATGAGAAGCAAACGTTTCTCTCTCCAAAACAGTGCACCAGCCTATAATTATGAAGACTACAACAGCCCATTAAAAACCCATCAGCTAGATGCGTCCTCAAAACCAGAATCCACCAAATTCCCTCTCAAATTGGACAATCTTGTAGGTCTTCCTAAAATTTGGGATGGGTGGAGCCTTTCAGGAAGGCTGTTCCATAGTGAGGGGGCAGCCCTGGAAAAGATTCTTGAATGGGTTTCTGACAGGCAAGCCACTCATAACAGAAACACTGCTAAAAGAAGGAGGAGGAGGAGAAAGAAGAAGAAGAATTGGATTTACACCCTGCCCTTTACTTGGGGTCTCAAAGTGGCTTACAATCTCCTTCCCTTCCTCTTCCCACAACAGGCCCTTTGTGAGGCAAGTGGCGTTGAGAGAGCTCTTTTGAGTACTGCTCTTGAGAGAACAGCTCTGAGAGAACTGTGACTGACCCAAGGTCACCGAGCTGGCTTCATGTGGAGGAGTGGGGAATCAAACCCGGTTCTCCAGATTAGAGTCCACCACTCTTAACCACTATACCAAACTATACTAAGAGGAGCAGAGTGCGAGGCACATCATAGCTGCAACATCTAAACTGTGTTCTCTCCCCTGCAAGTTCTGTCTACAGGTAATAAAGGAAGCATGACCAAAGGCTTGAGTAAAAGAGCAAGAACCAAAGGTCCTTGGCCCTTGGCTTGTGCTTTTGAATGAGATGAGCCACTGGATTCTACATCAGCTCAAGTTATAGTTGGTTACTTGCTGTTTGTTTTGTTCACACTGTATTTTTTAAAAAACCTATTTATTAATGTTGTATGCTCTTTTGATCCCTTTGAGGAGGAAAATGGCAAATGTAGTAAGTAAGTACGTAACTGCTCCACTGTCCAAAGGTAACAACATCAGCGGTCCGTTAGGTCAACCTACCTTCCCCAACATCGTGGACCCAACTGATAATGCCCGCCAGTGTGTGAAATAGATTGATGGACTAGATGGACTATTGTTCTGATCCTGCAAGGTTCCTCTTATGTACTTATCAAAGGATGTGAACATGGAAAGCCAGATAAAAGTAAGAATATTTTTTTTGTTTCAAAAAAGATTCTACTTATGCATATGTTTCACAGGAGTTACAAAAGTTTCTATGCAATTTGGTAATTCAAACTTTGAATGGATTTAACCAGACTTTTATCTTGTCTTAATTGTATGCTGCATCAACTTTACTGCTATCAATTACAGCTAGAGAAATGCTGAAAGATTTTTTTCTTAATGTCACTGCCTTGGCCATTAACCAGTCTCTTTCAAAATTGTACTTTTCCCTCCCTCTGATGATGAGGTAATAAGCCAATTCTTCACAAGAAGAGAAAATACTTTGGCTGTAAAGTTTTAATGATTTCAAAGGAAATTGCTCCCAAATTGCAAATCACTATTCAAAGGCAAGTTGTAACTTGCTTTAATGAATCTTCTTCTTTTCCTTGCCTAAGTCACGCCAATCACGTGGCGTGATTTCGGAGATGAATACATATATAGATACATGGATGTAGAAAGATTGCCTCAGTGAATTTGTTTTCTGGCCAACAAGAAAGCCGTGAAAAATAAAGAATGCAGTGATATGCCGTCATTTGGGAGGGGGGGGAATGGTTTATTTGATAAAATGACAGACATTCTAGCTACTGTGGATGACCTTCTTTTGTATTTTGAAAAACAACAACAACAACGAACTTCGTAGGGGGAAATGGACAAGAGAAGCACATATTCCAATGAGAAATGCAAGAGCTCCTACTTTTATTTTATTATTTATTTATAGTCATCTAATCTAATGAATAACACCCTGACCTAATCGAATATATAACGCCTGATGGGAGATTACCAAGAAAACCCAGGGTTGCTATGCAGAGGTACACAATGGCAAATCACCTCTGAACGTCTCTTGCTTTGAAAACCCTACGGGGTTGCCGTAAATTGGCTGTGACTTGGCAAAAAAGAAAAAGGCCCCAAAGAGCACTTCGCAGGCCCCAAAGAGCACTTTGGTCCGGGTCACAACACTGCCTAGTGACCCCGGGTCCTAAAGAGGCCAGGCTTGCTGCCACAAGGGCCAGATCCTTCTTGGTGGCGGCTCCTACCTGGTGGAATGAGCTCCTGGAGGAGATCAGGGCCCTGTGGGACCTCTTACAGTTCCGCAGGGCCTGCAAGATGGAGATCTTCCCCCAGGCTTTTGAGTAGGAGCCGCCGCCACAACCACCACCGAGTAACTGCAGAGCAGGACTGCCGGGTTGGGCCGACTGACCACCTGGAACATCTTGGCCCATGGCATCCCCCCTCTTTGATCCCACCGCGATATACAATAGGGAGTATTTTAGTTCCTAATGTATCCTGCAAGATGCGAGTTTTTGTTTTAATTGCTTTAACTTGTCCTATTTTTATTGCACTTGGTGCCTTAACTGTTTTAATCCTGCTGTATCTTATTGCACAGTTGTGCCTATGTAAACCGCCCTGAGCCCGCTTGCGGGGAGGGCGGGGTATAAGTGAAATAAAATAAATAAATAAAATAAATTATTTATGGTGTTCACATTCCTTCTTTTATCTCCTATGGAAGAGAGAATTTGTGTCAGGCTGACTCCAGGCGTCATCAGGAATTCTCTCCACCTTTCCTGTTTGGTCATCCATTTCTCATCTAAGTCCAGCAGTTTTGACATGATAAAATGGAAAAACACAAAAACAAGCAGTCACCATCTTGGACCAATGGTTCCCTGTTTTGGTTGTAATGCCTTCACCTTGGATTATTACCATGGAATGAAGAAAATGGTTCTCTGAGCCAATGCTTATTAAGAGAGACACTTTCCAATTTCTCATGGCCTTTTTGTCTCTCAGGGGACACCAAGATGACAAATTCATCTTTCTAAAATTTTCTCACCTACTTTCTAAAATAGCACTGTGGAAACAAATGCAGAAGAACCCTAAGTGGAACAATGAAGGAAATTTTGATGTTAATTGCAGAGAAAAATGGGATTAGAACTGTTTTCATTGAGAGAACTAAAATAAGTTACTGCTGGAGGGTTTTTTTTAGGAACAATCCATAAATTTATGACAGTGGTCCCTGAAGTCAAAGTTGTTGGGGAGTTGCACACTGAAATATGCATGACTGATGGTCTTACTTGTGTGTTTTTAATCTTCATAGTGGTAATGTTCATCTTTTTCAGAGGGCCAGCATTCAGACAGGACCTCTCTTGGGCTAACCCAGGCAAGACTGAACAACAGTCAATGCTAGAGTGTGCTAACTTCTACCATCAGGCTAACA